GGACTTGGTGAAGGGAGTGGTTTGTAGCTCAACTATCACAGACTTTTGTTCTTCTTATTGAGATTTAGTAAATGTGTCTTTCTTTGCTGTATACCCTTAGGATAATTTAAAGAAATTTCACATGATTGTTTTTCATAATTATTTTCACCAGCTATGGTTGATTTACAGAGGAGTAGATTCATGGAGCGCCTCATGACATCATTCTGAGGTTTCCAAACACCTCCCAGACCCCTCTCCACACCACTCACACTATGTGTTATAATTTTTTTTTAACGCTTACCCAAGGATATGTTTTTATTGAGTTTTCAGTGAGAGAGGAAGTGGGGCAGGGAGAGAGAGAGAAAAAGAAACATCAATTAGCAGACTCCCATATGTGCATGTGCCCCAACCAGGGATCAAACCCCTAATCTAGGTATGTGCCTTGACTGGAGATTGAGTCCTCAACCTTTTGGTATATGGCGTGGCACTCCAACCAACTGAGCCACTCAGCCAGGGCACACTAGGTAAATATTTAGTCCATTTTTCTATGTGAGGAAGCTAGGGGGCAAAGAAAGGCTGAATATTATACAGGGTCTGGCAGAAGTAATGCCTGCTTGAGTGTGGTTGGCGGGTAATAATGTGGGTGTAATAATTTATAGTTTTAATTTGAACATTTAACCTAAAATGCCATATGGTGTGCTTGATTGAGTATGATATTATTTTGTTACAGAATTACATGCTTATGATTTTATAATAAGAGATTTTATAATAAAAATGGGGCATTATTTGTGCCAGACCCCATATAATTCCTTTTATATGACTTTCCAGGAGACGTAGAGATAGAGAGTTGGAGAACAGATTAACTTCCAGTCAAGATGGTGGCATAGATAGACATGGCTTGCCTCCTGCACAACCACACCAGGACTACAGCTAAGCTATATGACAGTGGTCATTCAAAACTGTCAGAAATTGAGCCTTACGAAGACCTACAACTATGGAATTAAAGAAGTAACCACAATAAGACTGGTAGGAGGGGGAGAGATGCAGAACGGGTGGGTCCCACACCCACATGTGGCATATAAAAATCAAGAGGGATATCTGAGGAGTGAGAGGTCCCAGCCCCACACCAGGCCCTCCACCCAGAGCTCCCATGCCAAGAAGAGACGTTCCCATAACTTTGTGCTGTAAAAACCAGTGGGGGTTGAAGCTGAGGAATACAGAAACTGCTGAAGTCTCAGGCAGTTCCTCTTAAAGTGTTCATGCACAGACTTACTTGTACTCACTCCCTCTGAGCTCCAGCATGGAGACAGCAGATTGAAGGCATCAGAGACATACAGTGAGGAACTGAATTGACCAGCATCAGGGTGAGGGCTGGGAGGCAGCTTTCTCCCAGAGAGAAGTGCTGGTAGAGGCGATTGTTCCTTTGATGAGCCCTGTGACCATAGAGCAACAGAGCCAGCAGGAGGGTGTCATATTTGAGACTCTATCAACTGGCCTCACACTATTTTTCCAACACTGGTGATTCCCTGAGGCGCCCCACCCATCTTTTGGGCCTACACAAGCTGTTTCCAGGAGCTCTTCCATATGAATGGTTTGTCTTGGCTCATGCTTCAGATTTTCCTAAAATCTCTCAAACAAGCAGCATCTGCCTTCAGTGAATCCCATGCCTCTTGCTAAGTTACCCTAGGCTTGGCACTGGCCTTGGTTCACAGCTTGGCCTCACCTGGGCACCTCCAAGCCCAGCACATAGCAACCATCTGCAGATCACTTTGTAGATTATGCTCTGTGACCCAAAACAGAACACAGTCTGTGTTCTGACCTTGGCTGACCTTGGACGTGCCAATAGCAATCAAGGCTCAACTATCAGAGACTATACACAGCCTACACATTGGGCATACGTGAAGTACCCAGCTTGGGTATTAGAGGAGACTGTGCCACTAGAACCTATAGTATACCTATGAAATTAGACCACCCTACCAAGCCTGAGAGAGCAGCTCTACCTAATGCATACAAACAAACACAGGGATGCTGCCAAAATGAGGAGACAAAGAAACATAGCCCAACTGAAAGAACAGAATGAAACTCCAGAAAAAAAACTAAACAAAATGGAGATAAACAATCCACTAAATGCAGAGTTCAAAACACTAGTTAGAAAGGTGCTCAAGGAACTTGGTGAGGACCTCAATAGCATTAAAAATCCAGTCAGAAATAAAAGATACACTAATTGAAATAAAGTACAATTTACAAGGAATCAAGAGTAGAGTGGATGAAACTGAGAATCAAATCAGCAATATAATATTAGGAAGCAAATGAGAACCAGAACAGCAAGAAGATGAACTTCTTTAATTTTACCTTATCTGGAATAAGAAGCATAATTGGTAGGCACAAAATAGACAGGGAGAGATTAAGAATAGTATAGGAAATGGAAAAGCTGAAGAACTTATATGTTCAACCCATGGACATGAACTAGGAAGGGGTGAATGCTGGAGGAAAAGGAGTGTGGGGCAAAGGGAGATAAAAGGGAGAAAAAAATGGGACAACTGTCATAGCATAATCAATAAAATATATTTTAAAAGAGAAAGGACAACAAGAAAAAATACTCTAAAAAATAAGGATAGTATAAGGACCCTCTGGGACAACTTCAAGCATACCAACATTCCCATTATGGGAGTGCTGGAAGGAGAATAGAGAGAGAAGGAAATTGGAAAACTATTTGAAGAAATAATGACAGAAGACTTCCCCAACCTTTGGAGGAAATAGGCATACAAGTCCAGGAAACAGAGCATCCCAAACAAGAGGAACCCAAAGAGGCCCACACTAAGACACAACATAATTAAAATGCCAAAGTTTAAAGACAAAGAATCTTAAAAGCAGTGAGAGAAAAGAAGTTAATTACTTCCAAGGAAGCTCCCATAAGACTGCCAGCTGATATCTCAAGAGAAACTTTACGGGCTAGATAAGATTGTCAAGAAATATTCGAAGTGATGAAAGCAAGAACCCACAACCAAGATCACTCTACCCAGCAAAGCTGTCATTTAGAATCGAGGGACAAACATCTTCCCAGACAAGAAATAGCTAAAGGCATTCATCACTAACAAACCCGTATTATATGAAATGTTAAAGGATCATCTTGAAGAAGAAGAAGATAAAAAATATGAACAATAAAATGTCAAAAAATACATATCTATCAACAATTGATTCTAAAAAACAAAATAAACAAACAAGCAGAACAGAAACACAATCATAGATACAGATAATGTTTTAATGGATGCCAGATGGGAAGGGAGTTTGGGGGAATGAGTGAGAAAGGTAGAGGGATTAAGAAGTACAAATTGTTAATTATAAAATAGTCATGGGATTGTAAAGTAAGCACAATAATATATGCATGGCCCATGGATGTGGACAATGGTGTGGGGATTGCCTGAGGGAGTGGGGGAGCTGGGTAGAGGAGAGCAAAGGGGAAAAAACTGGTATAATTGTAACAGTGTAAACAATAAAATATAATTAAAAATAAAGGGAGGTGATGGCAAGAGAAAGAATAAAGCAATAAATTATTTATCTTTTGCTGAATAAAAAGAAAACAAATTAGTGGTTAACAGTGGAGTTAGAGATTGATTACAAAAGGGAAGTACAAGAGAATTTTGGGGGTGATTGATCTGTTCTGTATGGCACTATGGCAATTAATACAGAACTTAATACATTTGTAAAAATCCATACAATTCTATACTTAAAGAGTATGTATGTTAATAAAAAAACCAACCAGGATGTTAAGAAACCTCAAGGTACAATCTAGACTGTGACTAATGATTGGCATAACTACACTGAACAGAGTAGGAAAGAAAGGAGCTGATCCAAGTTAACTTTTGAAAATACTGGATACTGTAATGCTAAAGACAAAAACTACCATGCAGAAATAGTGTATTCTAGTTGATAAACTTACTTTTCAAATGGGCTTGTATTAGGAATTCTCAAACTTTACATGGAGGAAGGCGCTGAATTGCTATTATTCTGTTTCTCAATAAACATTTACCCACTAATTTAAATATTCAGCCTAAGTGCCCATCAGTAAATGAGTGGATTAAAAAACTGTGGTACATTTACACAGTGGACTACTACACAGCATAAAGAAGAAAGGAACTCCTACCCTTTGTGACAGCATGGATGGAACTGGAGAGTATTATGGTAAGTGATATAACCTAGGCAGTGAAAGATAAATACCATATCATCTCACCTGTAAGTGGAATCTTATCAACAAAACAAACAAGCAAATAAAATAGAACCAGAGACATGGAAATAAAGAACAAACTGACATTGACCAGAGGGAAAGGGGGAGGGGAATAACAGGGGAAAGAAGGGGAAGGGTCAAATCAAGGAACATGTATAAAGGACCCATGGACAAAAACAACGGGGCACAGGGGGAGGATTGTATGTTGCAGGGGTGGTTAGGACAGGGGGGAGTAATGGGGGAAAAATGGGGACAACTGTAATTGAACAACAATGAAAAGTTTTAAAAATAAATAAACCTTCACTAGTGGATTTTGCCTACAGTGATTACTACTGTGACATTCTATGGTAATCTATTTCTGTCATTCCTTCTACACTTATTAACACTTCTGTTAAGAAGACACGTATTTTATTCCCACTTATTTATTTAATCACTTGCTATGTCAGTATGAACAAATGGCTATTTTTTATATTATTTGAGTGTAATTCAGAAAAATTGTTTTTTGCTGCTGTTGTTTGGATCACCATCATTATTATTTATAAGTCCTGAATTAGATCTTGATATAGAAAAAGGACATTAGTGAAAAGTTGGTGAAATCCAAATAAAGTCTATAGTTTAGTTAATAGAATTGTACTAATATTAGTTTCTTAGTTTTTATCATTGTACCATGGTTATATAACTAGTTAAAATTAGGAGAAGTAAGGTAAAAAGTACATAGAAACTCTTTGTAACTATTTTCAGCTCTTCTGTGTGTTTTAAGTTATTGTTTTTCTTCTTCTTCTTCTTCTTTTTTTTTTTTTGTTGCACTGTTACCAGAAGTACTGTAGTACCAGGTCAATGCATGGAGTGGGTAGGTCAAGCTCCTATTCCATCTTCCAGCTCCAAAAAATCCATTTAATATAATGTCCTTGGATAGAGGATGTATCAGATGTTAAACTGATAAGAACAGATACTACACATGATCTTAGCCAAAAGGCAGAGAAACGATGTGTGTTTAAAATTATTTAAAAATAAATAATTTAAAATGCAATGAAACAACATTGTAAAAGAGAAATTGCAAGGTACTATAGTAGATACAAAATTTTTTGAGCTAAAAATAGGAATTGGTTGATAAAATCTTGAAAGTATATTCTTGAATTAAATTTATGAAATAAATGAACAGAAGAGTAAGGAGATTTTATAATAAAAATATTGTAACAGGGCCAATTCATATGAGATAACACAGGCTATTGATAAGTTTAACATACTTATCAATAATGACTGTTATAGTATATGATCCTTAGGGATTTAGACTATTCTTCAAAGAGGAAGCTGAATAGCTTCTAGTTCTAAAGTTTGGAAGACTATGAGATAAACAATGGGAAATTGGCTTAATTATTACAGACATAAAGGAAAATATAAAAGAGATAAGTTTGAATTTTTATATGAAGAAGAAGAAAAAGAAAAGTCCAAATAAGTGTTGACATCCAATTTATTTTTAGGGGATACTGATAGTAAGTTTCCTATACATACGAAATAAAAACACAATATTAAATGACACAATACTCACAATGTCCTCACAATACTAGAATGTCCACAATTTTCAACATAGAGCGTAGAATGTAATTAGAAAGGCTAACAATGAGACAGATTGAAAAAATTCTGGTGACTATTAACTTAAACTTTCTAGGGGGTTTTATAGTTTAGAGGAAATTTGATGGGAAAAATCTGCATTTCAGTCCTGTAACCCTTAGTATGTTTATCCCAGTGAACCTCAGCTTTGTGATTTATGAAATGATAATATTGATTTCCTAAGGTTATCATTAGGTTGAATGAAATAATGGATATGAAAGGAATTTGGTAAAATAGCAGTCATTATATTTTAAAGAAAATGTTATGAAACTTAAACAACTAGTACTCTTTTAGGTCATTTGCTCAGTAGGAAGAAGAACAGAATGAATTACTGGCTTGGACAAACCAAATTTGAGATAGAGTATTTGCCACTTCATCTCTTCTCTCACTTCTGTAATAGTTTTGGTTTGTAGACAAAGTATCACAGGTGATATAGCTTGACTCAAGCTTTATGTTTCTCATAAATTGGTAGCACACTCACCTGCCACTGCAGATTCACTGAAGAAGGTGTTTACTCCTACAATTCAGATGCAGGAGAGGGAATGGAAAAGTTTAAAAGGGACACCTCATACAGTTATCTTATAGATTGACAGTTATAATTTCTAAAATTTTGATTCTAAAAGAAGATTTGAACCCAAAGGTAATAAATAATTTTGTTCCAGGAGTGGCTAAAGGATTTAAAATGTCTGGAATTGTCCTGCACTGAGGAATATAGGTTTAAAAAACTCTAGATTATGAAAAATATGATCAAAGTAAGACTAGATGTGGTCAGGTTAGAAGCAAAACACTCCTTTTACATATTCTATGTTTAAATGGGGTATATGTGAATTTATTGTTAGAGAGTCTTTATGATCAAGTGCCGTCATTACTAATTTAAGTATTTCATACTAAGATTTCCTTCTCTTGTTTTTTCCTCCCTCCCCCTATCCTTCCTTCCTTCCCTTCTTCTCTTTCTTTACTAGTCAGTAAATGACTTTTGGAATCAGAGAGAGAGATTGCTGACTCTGTCACTAGTTATGTGATCTTGAACAAGTTACTCATCTCTAAACCTTGGTTCCCTCATTTATAAAATGATAACGATAATATTGGCAATTTTAGAGTTATTGTGATGATTAAATGAGATAATGTAAATATTGCTTAATACAGTTATCTGGTATATAATAATGCCTCAATAAATGTAAGCTATTATCATAATTACTACTATTGTCACTGCTAACTACTATTTGTTGAGTACCACCTATGTACCATTCACTGTCCCTGGGTTCACAATCTTTTAATAATCCAAGCAGTTCTGTAAGTAAACATCCTTGTAAATTCTCCTTTATTGGGGAACCTGGAGAATACATTGGACTTAATATTTACTTGGTACTCATCCAGCCTTTCACACACACATCACATTAACACAACATTACCTTCAACCCCTCACCTCTCTCTGTTTTGTTCACCTCTTTCTGGTCTTCTGTCACCTACCATCTCTCATCTCCTTGTCTTTTGGTTCTATCTACCCTGCCACTCTCCTTGCATTTTCTTGCAGCGGTGTCCAATCTGCTGCCCATGGGCTGCATGCAGCCCAGAATGGCTGAGAGTGTGGCCCAACACAAAATCATAAATTTACTTAAAATGTTATGACATATTTTTTGTAATTATGTGTTAAAGTGTATTTAATGTGTGGCCCAAGACAACTCTCCTCCTTCCAGTGTGGCACAGAGACACCAAAAGGTTCGACACCCCTGCTAGAGGATCCATTGAAATTTGATTGCTATCTTCATTTATCAATTGAAACTTCACTTTTAAGGTGAAAAATGACTTTCAGTTAGGGTTGTTAGGTTGTTCTTTTCTTTTTTTTCCTCAGACCTTGGTCTGTACAACTATTTGCAGCATTGACCTTGATGAAGACCATCATCTTTAAAAATTCCTTTTTTTAAAAAAAGAACTTTGTTGATAGTGTAATTATGTCCTTTCTCTGGTTTCTTTCCCCCCCTCTTCTTTTAGAGACCCTGTAGAATAATGAGAGATGTGTAAGCTAGTATCAAATATATTTGTGGTAGGATCATTGCTCTTCTAGTGTCTATTTTTTACTTGGGGTAAGTTACTGAATTTCTCTAAATCTGTCAAATCTTCCTAAGCTTCTCTTGCCCTAATTGTAAGCTATTCCTCACCTCTGAATAGGTAGAGCATGATGGTATTTGTGTTCCATGTTCATGCTCATTAATGGCTATCAATAATCAGGCAGACAAAATGACACTTTTTTTATGGATTTCAATAAGACTCTTTTTCTCAGAGAGGGGCAAGATGGTGGAGGAGTGAATGGAAGTCACAATGATCTCCCAGGACCAATCTGGAATTACAACTAAATTGTGGAGAATTCACCTGGAACAGACAAGTGAACAATAGTGAGAGAGAAGCCTTATAACCTCAGACAGAGAGGAGAATCAGCTTTAGCACAACCTGACTGATAAGGAGTGCAGTAGAGACTTAAGAAGGCTGGCTGGGTGCTCATAGGCAGAATCACCAGAGGGATATTTAAGCATCCAGTTGGATCCCCCTGGGAAGAGTGGGGTCTAAACCATAAGTGGGGATCCACAGCCTATAGCACCAGAACCTAGAAAGCACACAGATAACACCCAGCTGCAAAAAGCAGCAGAGTTGCTGTCTGCCAGAGATGGGTGGCTAGAGACCCATAGAGCTGTTTAAAGAACCAATGCCTAAATTTTTATTTGCAGCCACTTACTGTGGGCTCTGGCAAATGGGGCCGGGGGGGCAGAGTGGGCTAGAGACATCTGAGGAGAAGTTGGGGATAGAGGCTTTGGGGAGAGAAATGAGGGAGTACTGCAGGGATTTCAGTGCTGAGTCATTCCCCATAGGGTAGCAGCCATCTTGCTCAGGCAGACCCCCTCTGAGCAGCATGAGAGGAAACAATAGCCCTGACCTCAAGTGGGATTCTGCCCCACCTGGTAGTGTCTAAGCCTGACTGCTGAGAGCAGAGTGGCTAGATGAACAACTGAAGGAGATAGGAACAGACAGTAGGTTCCTGGAAGTCTTGAACAGACAGCCTAAGGTTAGACGGGGTAAATATCTGACATCACCAGAGGCAGATCCAGAATGAAAAAACAGCGGTAAAACTAGAGGCCACCGAGACAAAATCCACTGTCATCTTCTCCATAATTTGCAATATTTTCTTAACTAAACAGCTTTTTAATGTTCTCTTTGGGTCCATCAATTTGGTGCATATTAAGTCATTAGATTTCATACTAATAGTTTATTTTTCTCCTTTTTTATAATAGTCTTGATCTCTTTACAGCATTATTAATACTGGTTCATTTGCAGTTGATAGTGGGATTGGCAGGGGATAGTAATTTTTGCAGATGTGCGTTTGTTTCCTAAGCTTTGTGGTTGTATATGGCAGCACCTGCACAAAAACATACGAGACAAAGTGGGCAGAGTGACCTTAGTCAACAAGCTAGAGGGAAGAGCTCACCAAAGAATGACCAAACAATAGTCAAAACCCAATCACTTCCACAGGGCCAACATAAACAGCATAAAAAGCATCCAAAGAGCATCAAGTTCAAGAGATCAAGGAGACTGCACCACTGAATCTCACAGGTCTCCTATCAGAGAACTTCACACCACAAAGTCAGGAAGTCAAAACAGATCAATTTAACAAGCAGAAACAAAAAAGAAGAGCCTCACAAATAATGGGAAGCCACAGAAACAACCCTCAATTGAAGTGAAAGGAGGAATCCCCAGAAAGAGTACTACATGAAACAGAGGCAAGTAAACCGTCAGATATTGAGTTCAGAACAATGGCTATAAGGAAGCTGAATGAGTTCAGTGAGCTCAGGGAAAATTACCAGAAACTACAGAGAAACTACAAGGAACTTATTGCAAACTATTTCAGCATGGAAAAGGACATAGCAACTATCCACAAGAGGAAAGAGGAAATGAAGAATACAATTTCTGAATTGAAGAGCACAGTAGAAGGAATCAAAAGAAGGCTAGGTGAAACAGAGGACTGAATCAGTGAGCTGGAGGACAAGGTAGAAAAAAGCAGCCAGAAAGAGCAAGAAAATGAAAAATGAAAAGAGCAAAAAGAATGAAGAAGTATTAAGGGAAATTCAGGACAACATGAAACATAATCATATCTGTATAATAATACAGATACAAGAGAAAAGAGGAGGAGCAAGGAATAGAAAACCTGTTTGAAAAAGTAATGATGGAAAACTTTCCTAATCTGAGGAGAGAAAAAGTCAAACAAGTCCAGGAAATACAGAGGGTCTCATTCAACAGGAGCCCAAAGAGCCCTACTCCAACATATCATGATTAAAATGGCAAAGATCAAAGAAAAAGAGAGAATCTTAAAGGCAGGGAGGGAGAAAC